CTAGAACAGTTTTGCAAATCTCAAGTGACGACTCAGTAGTGAGTATTCTACCAGATCAACACAACATTTTTAAGAACATGGTAAAGAGCACAAAACAGACTGCACCCTATGTAGTAAGGCTAAATTTACACCTGGAGAATCTTTTCTTTTAGCTGGGTGTTATCATGAGTTGTCATGTAAATGTATTTTTACTATGGGTCATGGTCAAAACACTGAAAAAACCCTGACCTAAAAACCATACCTCTAAAATAGATCTTATATGGTACCAGAGGCTTCTACAACTTTTAAGCACTTTGGACTTGACTCATTTCATAGCAGGGTGGAAGGAAATTCACGTGGTATTATACTGTCTACCATTTTTATGATTTGTGAATAGGCCTTTGGTGGCTCTGCCTGGAAGAATAATCAGTATACTTTACAGTGCTGGTTATATTTGACCATCACTTTTCACTACCAGAACCACACCTTTTCAACTCTCATTGAGATTTCAAGACTGAAGAAACAATATACAAATATTTCACTAATTTTTCCCCAGTAGCTAAACAATAAAGCAAAAGACTTTCCTCTAATACATTAACTTTGCAAAGTTGTTTCAATACATACTGACTCTAATGACTTTCTAATCTTAGAAAAGAAGTATTTCAATCTCCACTAATAAGGTATCACTGGCTGTTTAATCATGACATAATCATTTTATATTAAATATTTTATACACTGTAGTAAAGTGGGGAAAGTTCCTTAAAATAACTTTTTTGTCAACTGTCTTGTAATGGAAAAGTTAGAAAGTAAATTCAAGTTACAGACAGAAATATGAGTAGAAATAGGAAATGAGAAGAAATAATCTCTTTCTAAACAAGGACTATTTTTATAAGACTATGTAAGCATGGAAATAAAATGTGTGGCTAATAAATTATAATAATCACCAAGTTTTAAAAACTCTCCTCTACAATAGACCATCTTTATTTATTGGATTTTTCTTTTTGTTGGAGGGGCAGGATCTTGCTATGTAGTTCAGGCTGGCCTGTAACTAAAGCTCCTCCTGCCTCAGCCTTTTGAGTGCTGGGATTAGAGGTACATGCCATGATACCTGGCAGTGCACACTGTCTCAGTAATTCTGAAGTAGTCAAACCTACAGGTGCCTCTAACTATGGACTTTTAATGATTACTCCCCCCAAAAAGAAAAGAAAAACCCCTAATGCTGGAATTTACATCAGGTTTATTAAAGATTACCATCTCAAATTAAGGCTTTGGCCAGGAAATGATAGTATATGCCATGTCAGCACTTGGGAGGCTGAGTTCAAAGCTAGCTGGGCAACTCAGCAAGACCCTATCTTGAGAAATAAAAGAACCTGGGGATGGGGCTCAGTGGTACAGCACTTGCCTGGAAAGTTACAAGGCCTTGGGTTCTCCACTGAAATCAATCCATCAGTCAATGTAGAGGAGACACAGCTGAGTGGTACAGTGTTTGCCTACTAGGCAGGGAGTCTTGGATTCAATTCTACTACCAAAACAATATGCAGAAGAGACAAAGAACTTGGAATTGGAAAATGTGTAATTCAGGCTAAGACTCAGTGGACTCTCGTGAGTTGTTGCTGCACATCTGGAATCCCAGCACTTCAGAGGCTGAGGTTGGAAAAGTGCTATGAATTCAAGGCCAGCCTGAACTGCATATCAAGACCCTATCTCAAATAAAACTAAAAAGAAATTAAAAGTCAGTGTATTCTTCAACCAACACATCAACTCCATTCTCATTAGGAAGCTGGAGTAGGAAGGGAATATATGTAAGGTTTAATTAATGCAATCACTGATAAAGCTTAAAAGTACACATTATATAAACCTCTAGGCTGCCACCTCCAGCTCCACCTTCTTGTTACTAAGGCCCTGTGCTCATCCCAGGTCAAACCTGGGACTCACACTTGCCTCTCGTGAGTCGTGTGGCATTCTGAAGGCGAGACTGAGATCGTGGTATTTTGGTGGCCTTATTAACAACAGAACGCATCGGAGATGGCCGAGATGACCTATGCCCAGAAGGCAGTCTACAACAGCAGGACCAAACTGTCTACAGCCCAAGGCATGATGGGAGTACCCAGATGCCTGCAACTGAGCTCCAGGACACAAGCACCCAGGTGCCAGAAGTTGACTACCCTGAAAATCAGACTGCCCAACGTGGTTCATGAAATTACAAAGGTGTTTCCTATCCAGAAGTGAAAGCCAGGCAGGAGATCAAGTGAGAATCTGAAAAATCATCTTTCTGGTCTCTCTGTGCCCTAGAAGCTGTGTAGAATGTGTAGGTTGTCTTTTTCACTACTTTCATGTAAAGTTTGTAAGAAAAAATAAATCTATATACACGAACTTATCTAAACTGTCTAATTGAAATAAAGGACTAAATTATAAATTCACTCAGTATTAATATTTGCTTTATTAGACTAACATTACGTTCTTCCTCAGTAAATAAAGTCTAAATATAAACGACGTACACACCTTTTTAGGTTAACCATTTTAAAAAGCACTCTGCCAATGTTTATTTTAAAATGATTAATTACTCTAGGTTCCTCCTACAACCAGGGCACAAAAGCAGTACAAGGATGTTCGTGCACCGAGGCTAGCAACAGTGAATGTCCATTTAAAGAAAAAAGGTTGACTCAACGAGGTGCTTCATACTGTTTTATATTATGTAATAATTCAAAAAATTATTCACAGAAAGGACATATCTTTCCTGCCACGGAAGGATCTCCAAATGTGTGCAAAAAGCAAGTTTGCAAAACAGCGCTTAAAACATCATTTACTCAGGTCTCACACACACACTTTCATATGTGTTATGTGCTTATAAGAAGGGAAAAAAACAAGGCGTGGTGGAATACGCCTATAATCTATCACAGGTACTCAGGAGACTGAGGCAAGAGGATCCCAAGTTCCCGGCCAAAGGCCAGCTGCGCAACTTTGCAAGCTCTTGCTTCAAAATTTAAAAAAGCTGGGGATGCAGCTCAACGCTAACGATGGTGTAAGACGCAGAGACCCTGAGTTCAACCCCCTGCATCACTTCAAAGAAAGAAAGAAAAAAAAAAAACTGGAAAAGTATTCAGGAAACAGAAAACACCATCACCCCTAAGAGTAAGGGTGTGAAATCGGAATGCGAGGGGGCAGGAGTAACACAGGGATTTCTGCTTCACTTCCGAGTTTTTACAGAAAGAATAAATTCATACGGTATTTGAGACCCGCAAAAGAATTTAAAATGCTAACTTTCCTCAAGCCAGAACTGTTCGCTATAACAAGATTTCCTTTTCTTCTATTTTCCATTTTTGTTAAAGTCAAAAACAAGTGACAGCAAAATATATATATATATCTATGTATATATATATTTTTTTAACCTTGCAAAGAAGTGACTAAATTGAACACAGAAGGGGAAAAAATCCCTTGCTAAATAAAGTAAGTGCACGTTAAAGGCACTGACTTTTCAGTTGACGCCGGCGTGACCAAGAAGCCTCCCAAAATCACGTTGTCCAAAGGCGAAGAAAGTGGACTACAACTCCCTCAGCGCTGGGTGTTGTTTTCAGGAAGCTTAAGTAAGAAACAGAAGATGCCAACTGTGTTTTCCAGGGTGGGAGAGGAGCGCGAAACCCTACACCCCAGCGGCGGGGGCGGGGAGCGCGGTCGTCACTCGGCTCTGGGCTCCGCGCCGCGACAGGGGT